TCCAACCTTGGCCTCCCAAAGTGCTGAGATTATAGGCATGAGCCACTGTGCCTGGCCTTGATAGTATCATTCTTATTTATAGGTCATATTTATACTTATGGGGCGGTTACTACGTGCCAGCAGGCCCTGTGCTCAGGCTCTGTGCGCATTACCTCATTCAATCCTCACTCACTGTACAGGGAGGTAGAGTTGTTACCTTATCTGACAGCTGGGGCTCAGTAGTCACGTGACTCACAGGTTGCAGCTAATAAGTGGAAGAACTAGAATTTCAGTTTGTTCTTCTTGCCGTTGAAGCCTGAGGGCTCAACCTGTATGCTATAACATCTCCCAATTTGTGCATTAATATATAACCTCCTTGCAGGTAATTTTATTATTTTCAAAAGGCTAGGTAGCTTGTCAAGCTTATATAGTCGATAAACAACAAAGCTAGATTCAAGCTAAAATGGTTAGTACTCATTTTTCTGTTTGTACTCTTATTGTACATGTCCTAAACACCACCACAGTGGTTTCAAAAAGCCTCAGAATCAAATAAAATCAAATTGCACATTTACTTAACATCACAACAGTAGTTTCAGTAATGCCTCAGAATCCAATAAAATAAAAATTTGAAAGTGCAGAAAGAAAATAAATGTCAATCTAGAATTCCCAACAAAAATATCATTCAAAAATGAAGATTAAATAAAGCCATATTCAGACAATAGAAACTGAAAAAATGTATTGCTAGCATACTTGCTTTAAAAGAAACATCAAAGGGAATGTTTCAAACAGAAAGAAAATGGTCCCAGATGGAAACATGGAAATGCAAAAATAAATGAAGAGTACTAGAAAGGTACATAAGTAGGTTTATAAATATCAACTGTACAAAACAATTATAGGAATGTCTTATGAAATTTAAAATTTACAGAGAATTAAAAATGAATCCCAAAATACTACAAAAGCCAGAGGAGTAAATGGACTTAAAAGTATTATAAGATTCTAACATCATCATGGAGGTAGTAGAAACTATCATTTGAATATTACTGCCATATCTCAAGGGTGTATACTGAAGTCTTCAGGGTAATTATGCAAAGAATAGTGTGAGTATGTAACTAATAAGTTAATAAATAGAGAGTAGAATAATCAAAATTTGATTGTTTAGTGTTGCTCTCTTTGTGGAACGTTGTACCCAACAATTACAGAACTGACACTGTTGTGTTGTTTCCAAGTGCAGGTGGAACAGCTGCCAGAATTGACCACGTGCTCAGCTGCGAATTAAATCTCAACAAAAGCCCAAGGGTTGACATGATTCAGATATGTTCTCTGTCCACAGTGGAATTAAACTAGAAATCAGTAGTAAAAAAAGCTAGATACTATCCAGTACCTAGACATCAAACAAATACACTTGTAAATAGTTCATGACCAAAGAAGAAGTCACAACAGGAATTAATATTTTGAACTGAATGATGAAGATGTGACTTATCAAAATTTATGGCATGAAGCTAAAACAGTGCTCAGAGGGAAATTTATAACCTAAATGCTATATTAAAAAAGAAGAAAAATTTAAAATTAGTGGTATTAAGAAGCTATACAGAACGAAATAGTAAGTCAAACCTAAAGAATGCATCAGGAAGGAAATAAAAAGATAAGAGTAGAAACTAACAAAGGATTAGTTTGAGTCTTAGGAAACCACTGATGTTCAGCCATTTTGATCTATCAAAATGGTAGTTGAATATGGTTCAATCTAATAGGAAGCAAATATTTAATAATAAACAAAGGCAAAAGTTGGTTTTTTGAAAAGATTAATAAAATTATTGTTATTAATAATGACAAGGGTGATCAGGAAGAAAGGAAAATAAGAACTGCCACTATTACGATTGGAAAAGGGAGCATCACTAAAAGTCTTAGAGACGTCAAAATGATAGTAAATTGATACCAAGAACAGTTTTATGCCAAAAAATTAAATATCACTGAAATGCAGTCATTCTTCAAAAAACACCAAAGTTACCAAAACTGACAGAAGAAGAAATAGAAAGTCTGAGTAGTCCAATATCTACTGAAATGTCAGTTCATTATTAAAAATTGTCCCATGAAAAAACTCCCATTTTCAGAAAGTTTGATTGAGTTATTACAAACATTTAAGGGAGGGACAGCACTTTTGTTTTTTAATTCAGAGGATGTAAAATGGGGGGACTTTTCCAACTACGAGTCTGGCATAACCTTGACGCCGTAATTACAGGCAATGATACGAACTGCCAAAGACAAAACTAAGCCTGAGACAAAGTGAACAAAGCCTTCATACCGTGACAAGGAGACCCGTCTGTGGTCATCACACTTCCCTTGGCAGCAGGTCAAAGGTGATAGCAAGGAGAGTCAGTTTTGCAGAGCAAACGGAGGAAACACCAAGTCTCTGGTTGGTGGGCATTCCATTACAGTGGAATTTTTGGAAGCAGAGGAGACTCTCTAATTGGTCTTCAGGTACTTTTGACCACCCTTGGTGGACTTCAAGGGTGCTGGCCCCCTGCTGCCTGGCAGAGGAAATTCCACCCCATTAAATGGCCTACAAAGCCCACCACGCCCCTGCCCCTGCTCCCTGCTCCCTGCATCCCTCTCTGTTGGGAACATTAGCTTTCTTTCGTGTCCTCCAAAGTTCCACCATCTCTTCTTCCTCAGTCTAGGAGATGCATGTACTCCAGTGGAGGATAAAGACACTATCTGATAATTCCAGAAAGGAGCATAAACTTACAAACTGAATTATACTATGAAAGAAAGGAACACACAAGAAAAGAAACTGGCTAGATTAGAGGGTTAGGACAGGCTTTTTGATCCAGTTTGAGGTCTGAATAATTTAATGGCAAACAGGAGACGGGAAAGGAGGAATTGTGCAGGCAGACAGATGGAACAGTATGTGCAAAATCCCTGAGGCAGGAGAGAGTATAATCAGTATCAGGAATTGAAAGAAAGAACACAGAGAACAGGAGGTAAGCAACAGTCTTGTAGAGAGCAGCAGTCCCCAACCTTTGGCACCAGGGACCATATTCATTCCATGGACCGGGGTGGGCAGGGCATGGTTTCAGGGTGATTCAAGTGCATTATATGGATTGTGCACTTTATTTCTATTATTATTATATTGTAATATATGATGAAATAATTATACAACTCAACATAGGTTGGGAACCTCTGTTGTAGAACATGATGAGGATCTTGTTCTTAATACCAAGAGAATACTTAATATTAATATAAGAATACTTAAAATAAGAGATATGTCAAGCTGGGGTGACATGGTAATATTCCATTAGAAAAGGAGCCTCTGGCTGCAGGGTAGACTGGGGAGCAGTTGACATGCCAGGGGGCCATTGTGAGGGAACTGCGATAGTCCTGGCCTTGGAGAACGAGCTGGGGTGTTGGCAGTGGGGGTGGACAGAGCTGGATACATTCTAGAAAAATGCAGGAGTTAGAATTGATAGAAGCTGGTGATGGATTGACAGGGACGACTGGGATTTTGGCCTCCCTGGGTGGATGGCAGAACCCTTTGAGGCAGGGACGCTGGTAGACCACCATGCCAAAGGTGCAGAGTGAAGACACAAATGAATCCATTGGTTCGAGGCAGGTGACATTTGGGATGCCACTGAGACGTTAAGGGGAGGGGTGGAATAGGCAGGAGGGCCCGTAGCCTTTAGTTCAGAAGAGCCTGAGCCATAGTAACAACTAATTTCCATTCAAATATAAGTAGTGGATTTGTTCGTATTTTAAGTTTAAGGTATTGTTACTTGGCTTTCATTTTCTTTTCTTTTTTTCTCCCTCTCCTTTTCTTTGGAGAACTTACTTTAATTTTTCCTTCTACCCTCTCTTACTGTCTGTGCGCTTCTTTCGACAGAGCAGTTTCCTAAATCCGCCCTAGCAGGTATTCGGACAAAGCCGGTGGGGAGGAGAGAGATGAGGAGAAGGTGTGAGATGAGGGTTTGTCTCCAAGCATGCATAAAAGCGCCTAACAATAATTTTCCTGACATGGCAATGAGATGACCCAGAATGAGTAGAACCAGCTGCCCTTTCTAAGTAAACTTTTCTGGGCGGTGCTGATTCCAGCTGGAAACCCAAAACCTTATTGGGGTAGATCGCAATCCTGGGGCCAAGCAGACTCACCAGTAGGAGGAGGATTCCAAATGTTTTAACAGGCAGAATTTTCTAGAAGACTTGTAAATTGGTGCTTAGTTCCAATATTTTAAAAATTGAAAGGTGGGGGAGGGTAACTCAGGAAGGCTTTTCTATATGGCTTAATAATTAATGTTATAAAAAACCAAGGCAGAGAGAAAAAAAAATGTATCTTCCCCATGAAGGTTGGGTTTTTTTTTTTTCTTTGCCAAGCTTATCCGATTGCTCTCCACTGTGGGGAGTTGAATTGGGGCTGTTGTACCCCAGCAGTTTCTGTGCAGCGGGACGTGATGACAGGGCTTGGCTTTGGGTCCAGCCGTCACTGGCTTCTTCCTGGGGTGGGGACTGTCTTCCTGGCTGTGACAGACAAGGAGAAAACCGATGTATCTTAGCGACACAAGATGTTATTATTTTTGTGTTTGGAGGGATCTAGTCTTTTGCACTCCCAAATAAGTTTCCTAGCTGAAATTTCTAGACCAATTTTCAACCTTTACTGAGACTATTTTTCTACAGGGGACTCCATTAAGCTTCTAATGGTGCGATGTGACTTCTAAACACATAAATAATTGTGTACCTTTGTGTGTGTGCTTCCTAGAGGCTAGTTATTGTCCTAAGTGCTTACGAAGTATTAAGCCACTTAAAGCTCACATCAATTCTGTATGGCTGGTTCTTGTGTGATTCCCATTTTATGGATGGATAAACAGTGGGTCAGTTACTCGGCCAAGTTCACACAGCAGGTGCGTGTCCCGGAGCCAGGGTCTCACCCAGTGCTGTTGGCGCCTGGTTCCTGCTCTCCTCAACGCTACACCACTGCACGGAAGAGATAAACATGTTAAAGTGTGTAGTCCCAATGATGTTTTGTTTTCTTGCAGGAGTGACTGGGTGACATCCTACAAGGTCATGGTGAGCAATGACAGCCATACCTGGGTCACTGTTAAGAATGGATCTGGAGACATGGTGAGTCTCTTCTTCCCACTGACTGTGCACTTGGTGCCTGGCTATGCGAGGCTCTGCAAAGGGAGGCAATGTGTGACTCGTCCCTTGGAGGTTTGCTTATTCTGTGTTGACTCAAACCTCCTGTGAGAGTCTGATGGATGGAGACCCGCTTCCCATTCCCTGGAGCTCAGTGGCCACATAAAATTCAGCCTTTATTTACTCCAATAAAAGAGCTGCTGGGATGCAGCCTCTTGCATCATGCACAAGTTGGCCCTGGAAGGTACATGCATTGGGCCGGTGCGGCCCTGCAGCTGTACATAATGGTTTCCTAACTTGCTTTAATGACCTTGATCTTTTAGCTGCATGATTGGCTCCAGCTTAATCAGTTCTGATCCTGCCACTTTCTTCCTCTGATGCTGAAGTGCACGTTCTTAGCGTGGCATCCAATGTCTTACACGTCTGACTACACGTACAGCCTGCCTTGTCAGCCTTCATCCTCATTCTTACCCCGCGTGCACAGTCCTGGGGGCCAAAGTGAGCCAGCCGCCCTCTGCCTGTGAATCCTGTCTCTGGGCTTCTGCAACCATTGCTGTCAGTTTTCCCTAGAACCCCTTCTCATCCCGACAGATCCAAACAGTTTTCCCTCTGCGCCAGTTCAAACAGCACCTTCTTTCCCCAGCGCTTAGCCTGGTCCCCTCCTGGAATCTCAGAGCTCTCTGGCTGTCCCTCTGCCATGACATGAACAGATTTCCCCTACAACGTAGAATCACCAATGCTCCTTCCCCTACCGCATGCGCCAGCTAGACAGAGGCTCCCTGCGGGCAGGGCCAGGCCGATCCTCTTCTCTCCCCAGTGCCCAGCACAGGAGAGGTTCCCTCAGCATTGAAGCGGACCACTGCTCTTTGATCCGTTGATAAGCAAGCTCTGAAACTCTCCTTTCCCCCCTTGGGCACAAACAGATCTTCGAAGGAAACACTGAGAAGGAGATCCCCGTCCTCAACGAGCTGCCGGTCCCCATGGTGGCCCGCTACCTTCGCGTCAACCCGCGCTCCTGGTTCGACAACGGGAGCATCTGTCTGAGGATGGAGATCCTGGGCTGCCCGCTGCCGGGTGAGTCTGCCCTCCTGTCCTCCCTGCAGCGCAGGAGGCAGGGGCCAGCCGCGGCGCGTGAAAGCAAACCCAGCCGCCGTTCTCTCGTGGGAAAACATAATACGTGTCTATTGTAGAATATTTAGAAAACATCGGTGGCCAAAGAGAAAATAAAGCAGCATTTCGCGTGCTCCCGCTCGGAAGCGCTGCGAGCGTTTGGGGAGCCGAAGGCCCGTGCCGAGCGATTCGCTGCCTGCCGCAGCGTCAAGGTGGTGCGGGCCACTCAGAAGCGAGCACAAAAGAACTGCGTGAATATCGGGGGACGCATTTATTTGTTGTTGACAGATCCCACTACGTTGGGCAGCGACAGTGGGGCAGGAGGAGGTAGATGTTCCTTTTAAACTTGACTGTTTTTTGCATGGTCTTTTTTTTATTTAAATAGCTCCGCTTGGATGCCTTTGCCTTTGGGTAAATGCTCGCTCTATTAGGTTGCATTCCCTTGCCCTGTTTTTGCATGATGGTATTTGGGCGCAACCTCAGGGGGGCTTAAGGAAAGGGGTTTGAATCCCCGTGTGCCATCCGGGTCCTTGGCACCATCTGCTCGGGACAGGCTGACCTGGTGGGGCTGGTGGCTGGCTCTGTGTGGCCTGTCGGGTTGTGGGCTCGTGCCCACGTGGAGCCTGTAGACGCAGCTCTTCCTCTTGACCTGATGTCTCCGAGGAAGGCAGCTGGCCCCGAGAGCACCTGCAGCAGCAGCTCAGGGTGGCCTGCAGAGACTTCCGCACGCCCGTCCACCCGCAGCGAGCCCATGGGGACACGGGGCACAGCGGTGGCTCCTGCCTCTCTCACTCTCCCCTCCGGTGTGGCCTCCTGCTCTGCCCAGCGTGCCGTGCGGCCTGGCCCTGGCCCTGCCAGCACCTCCTGGGGGCAGGGGACCAGCTCTGGTGCTATTTCTGTAGTTACTCCCCCTACACTGTGTTTTTGAAGCATATTAAAAGTCATTTCATTGTTTTTTTTCTCAACCCCATGCTATTCATGATCTTGCTTTGGCAAGCATGGATTTTTACAACACAAACCTTGTATTGGTGAGAAAGATGGCCCCATCTCCCTACCTACCTACCCTCACTCCAGGCGGATTTTTGTTTTGTATCTGTTTGTACTTACTGGATCGCGGATTTTTTTTTCATGTCATTAAAACCATTAGAGACCATCTGTCCCATGGATGCCTTCTAGCCTAGTCCGTGGACAAAAATCTCACAATTGCAATCTGCCTCATGTAGTTGGAAATTCAGTTGTTTCCAATATTTTGATTCTGTAAACAACCTCGCAGTGAACACTCTTATTTCTTCTTATTTCTCTGCCATTGTTCTGTGTGTGTGTCCTCGGTTATTTCCTGAAATTAGATGATGACAGGTAGGATTGCTGGCGCAAAGAATGTGCACAATTTCAAGGCTGATTTAGAGAGTGCTGAAGCCCTGCGGGGTTTGGGATTTGTGTCCTTCCATGGCTGGTCAGTGCTGGAACTGCAGCCACAGGCCCAGCCCCTGCTCTCCTCGGCTCTCCCAGCAATGGGCATCCGTGGGCACAGACGTCCCCGGTGCCCGCAGGGAGGGCTCGTGGCTCTGGCCGTCTTTGTGACAGCCCGAGAGCCTTACTCTCCCGTTCTGCTCGGCACAGCCTTGGTCTGCTTGCTTTCAAAAGTAAGGTCACGGTTTTTCTCTGCGGGCAGGAATTCATCTGTTGTTGGTAAAGGGCAAAGGGCAGCCTGGGAGAGTCTCATGAAATAAATATTTCCCTGTGAAGTTATTCTGGGTGGGCGTGCGTTTGAAGATAGGTCCTGGAGGTCCTTTAAACACTCACAAAGGCAGAGTTACACTGTGCAGTCTGAATTCAAGTATGGACTCACAATGGTTCTATTTTCCACCCCCAGATATTTAGGGCCATTTTTCTTCTAGAAGTGACTTAGCCGTCTGCTCTGAGGGGCTCTGGCCGTTCACGCATGCCGCCTGGTGGGGGTCACATCTAAGGACCAAGGGGGCACAGAGGCCCTGAACGAGCCTTCCATGTTGCCCTCGTGCCAGTGAGATTCCTTTGTAGAAGGAAATGAGGCCACAGCCAGGGATGGCCCAGCCGGCCCAGCTGCCCAGAGCCAGTGACCTCGTGGTCAGAACGCAGCCACCCTGAGAGCTCTTCCCGGAACTCTTCTTTACGAAAAATCCATTTCGCTTTCCGAGTCTCTGCCCCTCCACCCCTACCCTTTCCTGTGGACTCTGTGGTTTGAGTGAGGAGGGTGATGGTGCTTTTTTAGACTTCACGAATAATGTTTCCAAAATTTTTTTAGCTGGAAAGTGAATTACTATATACCGTGGTCTTGTAATAGGACTTTTAAAGCTCACAAATAAAAGAAAATGGGCATTTGTTGTTTAATGGACAAGGAGTTTAGTTTTATCAGATGAAAGAGTTCTGGAGGTGGATGGTGGTGTTGGTTGCACACCACTGTGAGTGTGTGTAACACTACTGACCTATTCACCTGAAGATGGTTACGATGGTAAATTTTATGTGGGTGTACTTTACTGCAATTAAATGTGAAAATAATCTTGTTGCTATTAATTTTAAAAAGTAAAAAACAAAAAAGGTCAAGTCTTTTTCCCCACGTTTGAATGGACTTGTCCATTTTGGACTAAATATATGTGCTTATCAGAGCCTGGGGAGAGCTTCTGAAGTTTTTTATAATGAAACATTCAGGTGAAGACTTATGCTAGCTGACTTCAAGATCAGGGCCTTGCTTTTCGGGGATTTTGCTGCTACAGACAACACTGCAGTGCTCACTGCCTGGTTCTTGAAAGGACCCCGTGAGCTTTGCAGGCAAATGCCCCACAGGGTGATGGGGTTGGTGCCCAGTGTCTTGGGAAATGGCCTTCAAGATAGGCTTAGCAGCATTTATCACGAATGTGTGACTTTGACCTCTCTGGGGGAAGTTGACACCGCCCACCTCCTCTCCCCGGGCTCCGGAGCGCCAAGGTGTCCCGGTTCTTGGCTTTGACTCAGAGAATCTGGCGATGAGCCGTGTGGAGGTCTGTGTACAGGATCCTGTTCTTGCTGGAGCACAGAGCGGGGCAGTGCCCAAGAGTCATTCCTGTGGAATGGCCGGGACCCACTGAAATGCTGGTCTCCTTCCTCCTGGCACGGGTCCCCAGTCCCCGCTCATCAGTTCATAACGACTGAAAAGTTATTGTAATTGTGAACCCACCACCTGCCTTGCTGAAATGCACTAATAACATCTCAGCCAGCTCACCCCCCCTCCCATCGACATGTGTAAACTGGCAGAAGTACCGGCTGTCACTCCGTGGGGTCACCAGAGGTGCAGAGACTTTCGACATTAGTCTGACTGTGCTCTTCCTGCGTAGGCCTGTCTTCTGTGCCCCAGTCCTGTCTCTGTCGTCCTCTGACTTCCTGTCTCGGCCCTCTGGGTTGGATGTCTGGTGTGTTTAGATAGAGACACTCTCCCGTCAGGCGAGGTGGTGCCTGGCCTTTCAAAACCATGAGCCTCGACTCCCCTGGAAAGCAGAGGAGGCTGCTCTTGTTTCTGTTTTCAGTTTCCCAGCAGCTCTTCCATTTCTGGTCTGTGAACACCGTGAGGACCAGATGGGATCGTGTTTGTGGAGTGCCCGCACGTGGCAAGTCCTCAGCACGTTGTGTTCCCCTCCTTTCCCTGCTTCCTCCCTGTACTGCCCTGGGTTTGCCCGTTGGGCTCCAGGGCTTCCTCGTGTCCGAGGTCACCAGACCCCACGGCTGTGGGTGCGTGTGACAGAAGATAATCCGTCTCTGCTCATCTCCGTTATCTTTGTCCTGGTTTCGCTTTCTGCCCTCTCTGCGTGTGACTTGCTGGTGGGGCTAAACCTCTACTTCTCCAGGAACGAGGATGCCAAGGCCTCTCCCCCAGGTCTCCCCCGTACAGAAGACTCTGGGATTTGAGGCTGAGGGGGCAGGTCACATGGGGAGCCACAGACTTCTCTCCTGCCTCGTCTCAAACTCTGGCCTGGGCTCGCCGCACAGCAGGAAGCCCCCTTCTCCCCGTCCAGAGCAGCTCGGCTCGGGGAGACGGGCGGTCCTCTCCCAGTGGGCTTTTGTGCAGTGCTCGCCACGACTGACCGCGCTGGGCCGAATAGTGTCCCTCGGAGTTCCTGTCCCCCCAGAGCCTCAGATGTGGCCTCATGAGGAAATAGAGTCCTTGCAGATATAATCGGTCACGATGAGGTCACGCTGGATTGAGGGGGTCCCTACGTCCTATGACTGGAGTCCTTCAGAAGAACAGAGACCCGGTGCACAGGAAGAACGCCAGGCGGTGGCCGAGGCAGAGACGGAAGTGACGTGGCTGCGAGCCCAGGGGTGCCGGCAGCCACCGGAAGTGGGAGGAGGCAAGGAAGGAGCCTCCCGAGCGCCTTTAGGAAGAGCGCGGCCCTGCGGGTGCCTGGCGTTTGGACTCTGCCCTTCAGAACCATGGGAGAATAGATTTCTGTTGCTTTAGGCCACCTAGTTCGTGGCACTTTGTCACAGCAGCCAGGGAAGTGAACACTCTGAAGGACGGGAAGATGCAAACGGAGTCACGGCTGTCCTCAAGCCTGGGCATCTGGCTTCAGCCCACTGCCCCTCTGCCCTGCCTTCCACTTCCGTTCTGCCGTGGCCTGGGGTGACAGCATCACAGCATCAGGTGGGCCCCTTTCCGAGGGCTCCTGCACCCTTGGAAGTGTTTCTTTTCATAGCTGGCCTTTCCTAAATACCCTGATTGGAACATCCATCCATCCACTCACTCACTCACTCACTCACTCACTCGTTCATTTGTCGAATACTAAGGGAGCCCCTGCTTTGAGGCAGGACCCAGCTGCTGCCCCGGGCTCTCACGGCACCGTAAGGTGAGGGCGACGCGTCTGGCCCGTGGGGCACCTTTCTCCAGCGTGTCATGGTCAGATGAGGTGGCACCAGACCTCGCTGGCCGCACCTGTGCCCGCTGCGGCAGACGG